TTTCGAAATTCGAGAAGAATTTAAGACAGTAATCCGGGTGTCGGTCCTGTCTCGGACGTCCTATTGTGACGCAAACGGATAGGGACCATCCCCCTATTGACCCTGTCTTTGCCCAGTACCTTTTCTCAGTGCGTTTCATTATGTGACGGGCATTTTTGGTGGTCTTTCGCCGTTTTCACACTACGCTTACCTTGTAATAATTTCATGAGTGTGTTCCGTCGGTTACGTGACTACTTGAACTTTCTCTGCATCTCTGACGGCAAGAGGCTAGAGCCCAGAGAAAAACACCCTGGGTGAAGCCTACGGCGGTGGTGGTGGGGGCCCCATTGGACAGGCGAGCATAACACGCAAAGACCACATCAAACGGGAGTGCGCCAGACGAGGGCAGAAAAATGACGCATCCGGCAAATTTAAAGGAACCGAGTTCAAGTAGTCCGTAGGCCGTGTTCCGTCATAACCAGTTATTCCACTCAGGACCCAAGTTCTGGACTACTTCACCTGGATTAGCTCTAGCGGATTTCAAAATGTGAGCAATGAACGTAGCTCATACGTAAATTTTAAAAGAACAAACCCCAACCCAGATAGGGCATTGTGTAAGCTCAACGATTGTATCGGCTATATGATACCTCCAGAGCAGGACGAGTTCCAAAATCGTAGAGCCTGCCCCACTCCCAAGGCGCATCAATGTTAAAAATTCATACAATTTGTCATGACCCTTGGCGACAGTAGAAGGCAGATTTGAACATTTTTGGCTCTATGTAATTGGCTCTTTTCACATTTGTAACAGCTGACCTCTCGTCCAGATATCCCTTCCATGCCATACTGTGGTGGTAATCTCGTACAACCTGTACATTCACTACTTTTAGTGAGCCTAATTTTCCTAGGTCGAAGGTTTTTTGCTTTCTTCGCCCTATGCACTATTCTTCACCAACACTTGCGCTCCTCAGCTTTGGAAGGGTACCTCGAAAATATCCTGAACTATGCCTTCATGGGAGTAACTGAACTTCAATTTGAACATCTCCCTTCCAAATCTGTCAGGATCAGAGTCAATTTCAATTCTGTTAATTTTCACCTGCTTCCCTAGGCATCATCATCGCTTCAATTCTCAGCATTCTTGCAAAATACTACTTACACAGTGCGCAGCACTCCGCAGAACAAATATTTGTATTTAAACGTAATGCGTCTCGAAGAGCGTCTTCTGTTTTTTTTGCTGACCTTTTTTTGTGAACCTGCTGAATGACGGGCTAAATGCGCTTTCATTTGTGTGAACTAAATATAACCTACTAGTTGTAAAACAAAAAAGAATTTTACACTGAATAATCTTTCTGATATAAGAAGGATAGGATACATCTAAAATCGGATAGTTTTTTAGCAATGATTTCTTGCCACTTGCTAATTGCTTGGTCGCTCGAACTGACTGCCCAAAACTAATCGAGCGGCTTATTCGCAGGCGCCGTAATCGTTACGTCGGTATACCCGAAGGTATGCATACGCTTAGGAAGCGTTCATACTTTGCGAGAGAATGCGTGATTGCCGTACATTGACTAATGATTTCGGTGCACTGAGCCGAAAAAGATGACTGTGCGTCTTCTCCACCGCAGAAATAGAAATAATATTGTCGAAGTACATTGAGCCATTAGTCAGCCACTTTTATTATTAACGACCAACCATGTATGGAATTACGTTACCTTCTTTTCATTGGAATCGAAGAGACAACTGAACGTGCATCTGGCCTGCACTCTGGCTGCTAGTTCATTATCTGACGTTCAATGACCTCGGACGACTCCGACACCATACCATTATCCACGAGTAAAAAGCTTGATTGACTTCGGCCAAATCGGATCCCGGTACTGCGATTCACTTTCTCATTAACATTCAGATGCCTTCGAAAGATGAAAAATTATTGATCCATCCTCTTTGGCATATCTCTTTACTCAACTTTGCCTTCAATGAACTTTTACGAAAAATATACCAGCCCCAGTAAGGTCTGGTTTCGATCCACACCTGAAAGACTTTGTAAATAACAATTTATGTGGTTGCCGTAGGTTTTCTCCCACCGCCCACACTATATTCAGCCTTACCCCGAACTGGGCAATAAGGCAAGTGTAATGGATATAATGACGGCACACTCAAAGAGAGATGTTTTTTCTTTCGGAACTGAGTTACTCAGAAAATAGCAGAAGATATCAGAACAACTCACTCCCTTAAATAGCCAGAAATACAGGACGACACGTTTTTCGAATGGTGAAGGATTAGGCTAGTTCTTCCGGTCTGCAACCGATAGAGAGCAAAACTAGATTAACAACGGAGAGATGAGGACAATGTAGTTCGAACAGAAGACTACACGGATGTAGAAACACTGCAATGCATGAAACATGAGAACTAGGGCAACGGAAGAAAATCTGTTTGCCGACCGAGGACACATGTGATTGAAGTGGCTTTCATGCGTGAGAAATGGTACGATCGCGCTTCTCCGATCACCCAGTGAAATTGAATTGATGCATTCTTGTGTGCACTGCTGCCACAAGTACCCCATCAACGGCGTTCGGTGTAAACTATGCTATGGCAATCCTCGCTGTAGGGCCTTTTAGGTTTATACTGACCGAGAAATTGCGCAGATGGGCTTTCAGCAGTTGCCAATCTGCTGATCGTCTCTGCTGGAGTAATGCTGAGGGCAGGACTGCCAGATTGGGGTCATTACAGTTAACGCTGTACAATATTTTCTGGGCTCAATATGAGGCGCTAAACCTTCTCGTGCGTGGTCGGTGGAACGGATCCAGAAATAAATTTTTAGAGCTGAACAAATTCTAGAGCCTTAACTTCTTCTCTTGGGAACAATTGGAGCAATTCCTTTATGATTCTTAGTAACGAAAAATTCGGTTCAAATCAATTTAACTTTCATGTTCGGTGTTATTGAAACCTGAGCAACTTGAGTGCTTAGTTAGGTAAGCCGCAGATCAAGAGCTCCGAACTACATTCAGACCCCCGAACACGACGAGTCAGTCGGAACTTCAACCTAACAAAGTGGTTCGACCATAACAAACTTGTACGGCGGAACAGTGAAAAGATTTCGATTCAATTCTTTTCCGTTCTATTCATGATGAGCATTCACGATTTTTATTACAATTAATGACCGGAGGTCCTAACACGAACATCCCATGTTGCAGGTGCTGGTAGTGGAACTGAAATTTACAGTTTTCAACTAATGCCATTGTTATTGACGAACAACCGATAACACACTTTACGAATGTCGTAATTCTTCCATCTAGTTGTTTTTGTGGGGAATCTGAAAAAGAACACTGTCAGTGAATATGTTTTTCTTTTGTGATGATAGAGTTCAAGAAAGCGTTTTGAAAAACCCATATGTTTGTTGCCATTGCAGGCAAGCGTCAGATAGCACACTAATACAGAACCTCGCAAATAGCTAACAGTTCGAGTAACAGCTTCATACTTTAAACACATCCATTAGCTTGCCCGGCCGGTATATATCCCATCATGGTCGGAAATCCGCCTGACTCAACTTCATCTCTTGTCTGAACGACTGATACATTCCTGACTAAAAAAATTGTGGGTTGTCCTGACTAGAAAAATTGTGGGTTGTTCAAAATTCACTATTTCAATTCGACAGAGGGCTTTTAGAAGAGAAGAGTTTGGCATATGCTGAGCAATACAACTGGAGTTCAATATATGGCGACGGAAACACACTCATTTTCCGATCTGTTGCTCATGGTCTCAAAACCATCGATGAAGGCTGTGATTCATTCCTTTTTTAGATCTACTCGCACAGAACCTTCTCTAGATGTAAATAAACAACATGATTAGTCTTACGAATTGCTGACTATGTAGTACTTTTGGACGCTGTTGCCTGATGGTTACATCATTATCAACGGTGGTTATTCGCGCTCCTTTCTGGTATTCGTTGATATGTACCGTTGATCGAGGTTTTCTGAATATGGGTAAGCGGATGATTCACTCCGCAAACGATATTGAAATGAAGAGGAAACGTCATCCCTCATCGAGTCCTGATGCTGCTTCTACAACATCACCTTCTGAGGTGCACTCTACAACTAGTACATAAAAAAGTCGTCAGATAGTAATGCAAGGGTATATGGAGAAGACTTTTAAAGTTCAGCTCATCCATCTAACTAGTCTGATACAAAGTAGTTTTGGGATAACGAGGGACCGGTAAAATTCGATAGCATGAAGTGTTCTGACTTGCGCACCACTTAATGAAGGGCACACTTATTTGCGCCACTTAGGGGGTCCAATGTGATCTACCTTTCGGGAAGTTCGCGAAACTCGAATCTGCTGCGTTCAACGAGCACTCATCGACACACTACTCCAACGTTACCGGACGAGCGGTTGCATGGTCAACCGCTCAATCGTCATCGGCATTATCGACTCGTATCTGCACATGTGCCATCTTCCTATTCACGAGACCGTTCCCGTAGCAAGGGATCGCATATAGNAAGGAGGTCTGTAGGCAATCACATAGCACCTTAGCAGACTCCTTTTAAACGAGCAGCCCGACATCATGGATTTCTAGGAGGCTATCCTGGGTTGTCTTGTGAACCCGATAGAGAAACTTACAGCTTCCTTAAGCTCAGGACCATGGTACCATGGTATTCCTTGCCCATTTCATGAGTATTGTTGTCGCATTTCCTTATTGCTTTTTTTATATGCGCTTTGACTAATCTTGCTTCGATGTGTGTGTTATCAGCTTTTCCTCTTACGGTTCAATCTCAGTTTAGTACAAATTCAAATCACCTGCAAAGTATCCCAGTTGTTTCTATGTGTTTTGAAAGTGTCATCATACTCTAACAATACTTGAGGTTTAGACCTCAGCGTGGATATACACTATGAGGGTGTTTCAGTGCCAAGGCTTCGTTAGTCGGAAGAGAAGGATGGTTCTCCTTGTACGGCAAATGCACGTAGTAACCATCGCTTCTTTTTTCAAATGTATCAGTGAAAAACTTTGACATTTTTTCGTTCTTTCTTTTTTATTTTTCTTTCCTTTTGAAGGTATACATTTCTAGATTGCGTACCTCTATGAATCCTAGTCCCAGATCTTCCGTCAAATTCTGGCTGACAAACGAATGATCCGCGCCCGTGTCGAAAAGGATTTTACCCGGTTGCCATTGTTGACGTTTCATATTCCATATCCGCGCCACTCCGGTTAAGAGAACTATATTCTCGCTTTGCGTTCCTTGATGTAGTACGGTTAGGTCATGGCTATTGTCGTCCTGCTCCGTACTGGTGTCTTGCTTGTATTCATTTGCAATGCCAATTTGAATCGGATGTTCTTCGTTGCTGCCCATTTCTTCTGTCTTTTTCTACCTGACTTTGTTGCGTTTTGGACTCTGACGATCTTGTTACTGGTGTTGTTGGCGCAAAAAGTTTCTCTTGTACTACCTTGGTTTTCTTCGATGACATATAGCATGAAGGTGACTCTTTCCGTGATTGTTTCTGCATCCTTCTTTTGTGCAGTTTGATGCAAAGTGACCTTCTTGTCCGCAATTGAAGCACATACCTTGCTGTTGGAGACAATTCCGTCTTTCATTNAACATCAAGTTCGAAGTACTTATTTACAATTGTGTTGATGCGTTCTTCTGTCGCTATATATGCGTCTAAGGCATCGAGGATGTTCTGCATTTTCCATGCGTCTTCAGGCATGTCTTGAGTAAGTAAGCCTTCAAGAGTCTTTCTCTGAGTTCTGGGTGCAAACTTTGATAACACTCTCTGAGTGTTGCATGAGCCATCCAAGTTCACTCCCAATGTGTGAAGCTGCTTGATCAAGGAAACGATGCATTCCAGCAGCTTCCTCTGCTCTTGGGTGGAAGGTTTGTCCGGCCTTACCCGTTCTAGGCGGTTCTGTAACACCCTCACCAGTTTCGCGTTGTTACCATGTATTTTGTTCATGAGGTCGAACGCCGACATGTAATTGTCCTCTGTGACTGGAGTGCGGTTATCAGATGATTAAATTTTTGCAAATTGGTAAGCGAGTTTCGCTTATGGACGTTGTCTTGGAAAAGCGTCTAAAAATTATTGTACTCCCATATTTTCCCATCAAAAGTTGTTATGGGTATAGAGGTATAGTTTTTTCATGTTGTCCTATCCCTTGTCCCTGTGTTCACGCTGTGGATGTTCTATCGCTATGAATTACCTCTCGTACACTTATGCGTTTCGCTTCAAGTTCGATCGCTGGCTGATTGCCTCTATCAATGGCGACGTGTACGTTTTCCGTATACTCCAAGGTTTGGTCTTGTTCTTCTTTTGTAGCGTATCGAATGAAGAGTCTGCCGTGCTCGCAAATGTTGCCAAATGGTCGCTTAGTAATCGTGTTGTTGCCTGGAGTTCATAGCACACTGAAGCTATGTGTTCGAAATCTTCGCTAGTTGAATTTACGCAGAAGGTTTTCAGTGTATTACCCCCCTTGCATCTGGTATTTATTTTATTGAGATTATTGCAGAAGCGCGTTAAGAGTCCCTTTTGCAAGCGTAATTTCAAGGGTGCGGTACTGGTGGTCATTATCTCTTTTTTGCCTTTATCAATTGCGTTCGTAAGAAAAACTCGTAAAAAAACTCGGCCAAATTGAGAAGGAAAAAAGAATCTTATGCGTTCAACGGACCAACCTCGATCCTTCGCGTTTGACTGATGCACTTTTTCCCTAATCTCAAGAGCACGTTTGCACTCAGGCTCAGCATCCTTGAACTCGCCACGCTTTCCATAAAGACCGCCAAGTTGTTGAGAGTAGCCGCAATGCAGAATGATATTCTCCAAGACACCTGCAAGGCGCGAAGTCGTGCTGGAATCTCGTAGACCACAGAAGCTGATCTGCCATCGAATGAGCAGGTGTTGGCTGCGCAAACTGACTAGACTGCAGATCTTTTCTTCTTCAGGTACAGGTCCAAAACCAAGATCTTGAAGGGTGTCATTTGTAGAAGGTACATTAGCTTTGGAAGGTGTGAACTTCACATCGTTCTGGATATCGTCATCGAATTGTTAAATATTTATATAGATAAATAGGTAGTATTACAGTCTCTAAGGGTCCCAACTAGGGACTACACTGAACGGGCGATTTGCTCGTAGTGTGGTACAAACGAGAAATGAATAGTTTATTAGCAAAAGCCATAACGAAATCCCAAACACAAATACAACAATGATGCGAAAAACAAAATCAAAAATACAATACAATCAAAAATCCCCCGAGGGTCAGGGCAGAGAAAATGCAGGGGGTCCCACCAAAGATGAACCGGCCACTAAGGCCTTCCTCTAATTACCTAGTTCGCGAACCACAGAGATTCGCCCCGAGCTCTCACCGAGGTTCCAAGAGCACGGAGCCAAATCCGTGGGGGTACTGGCGGCGGACGAAGGGGGAAAAACAAAAGACGACCTCTTCCTCTCGAGGTTCCCCCTTTATACAGTCTTTCCCGCGCCTTTTCTATCCCCAGGCATGTTTACTCCTGCTAGCCTCCTACCTCCTGATCACTACTGATCACCAACAGTACTCTTGATCACCCTTCCCCAACGGTGTTGTGATCTTACGGGCATTTCTTCTTTGGCCGGACTCCACCGGTACGGTTCTCTCTGTCCCGCCCTGAGAAGCCGTGTAATACCTGAGCGATATAGAACGCTGGTCCCCGAACTCAATCCGCGTGAGGTATCCTCTCTAGAAAGGCAGTGGTTCACAGCGGTTCAATAACAATTTGCATTAATTCAACGAATAACAGGGCGTGACAATGCCAATATGCTTATGCGTAAGTTAAAGCGTGTAAAAGGGTTACGAAAATAGCCAACACGTCGAAAACCAATAACGATAAAAATGAGCGTCGACCGGGGCGTTGCTGTCCTTCTATACCCCCATGGAGACCAGAGTTCGAAGTTCAAAGAATGCTCCCTGTGTTAAAGGATATCCCGTGGTCGATCGATAGTCGTTATGTGTGGTCGATGGGGTCCGCGCGGGTCTTTCTAGATCATAATTTTGCTCTTCTAACGAGAATGCAATTTATTGCAATACTTCCGATGAAATGGGTAAATACCAAACCAGTCAATGTATTACTGATTTTTTGTACCCTCCAAGGCGAAAAAATTACCCAGACACAAAAAAACAAATCATGCTACTATAGCAAAACCTCGAGAAAGGACATTAAATGATCACAATTCTCAAAACCTCCAGAAGCCCATTAATTTATTGTACGATGAAATACTTTGATGGAGTCTTAGTATTGCTTGCGAATCAGAATTGCTACTTCGTTGAAAATTAAGAATAATTAAAAAATATGTCACAACTGTATATAAAACATGATCTTCTACTCATCGGTCGCCAGATGTGAATATTTTGTAGACTATCGATAACATAACACCCACAATTGATTGAAGGTCTCAAAACCGGCAGCTTTAGCCGTTCGGCTAGGTATGCATTCACTTGGACGGAAGAGACTGTCCTTGGAAGAAATGTTCTATGCAAAGGAAATGAGATCTCTGTTCTGGAGAACTAAAACGTAACGATCTCATGTTACCAGGTTTGGAAATCCAACTGCTGCAGTAAGTGCCTTTTTAAAATGCAATTATACAAGGAAGATTCGTACTGATTCTAGGATGCTTATAAGACCGATTAAAACCTCGGTATTAGCTGGAAAGTGATATCCTACCAGAAGGATCCCAAGTCGAATGGGCATTCAAAATGAGACCTACACTGCTGGACGTGATTTTGGATGCTGAGTACAAATCTGCTTTCCAAAGTTGCCAAGCGTTTCTCCGAACAGAGTTATGAGGGTGGTTTCAGGGAGCTCAACATGAGAAAGCGTAAATTACCTGGATGTGCCTCATTGCTCAGCGGCGGCTTGGTGTAGTGGTAAGCGTGACGCTGCATGGGTGAGAGGCTAGGTTTCGGGTTCTGTGGTGGACGAATTTTCGCATTATGTAAAGTTTTGCCCTTAAAGTCTAGAAAACACTCTAATGGCGGTTTTATCACGTTTTATGAGCTTTTAACGCTTTGCTGATACCTTCTCCTACCTACCTATCTATTACCGAGTGGGAGATTCCTCCGTACACAAACTGCGGAGGTCCGGAAGAGTAAAACGCATATGATGAGCAATGATTATGCTAGAGTGGATGTTGATGCTAGATTGGGGGCAATGGTGCGCAGCAGCTCCAGACTCGCCAACACCGGGCACTGTTGATAGTGGACTTGAAGATCAGAAAGCTACTCAGTGCGCCTTACCTCCACAAAAGCAGGTGAAGGGAATGACACCTTGCTCGGACCCTGAGGCTAATACAGCCGACAAAAGCTTATTTCTTATTTCCTTCTGGAAAAATAAGGTTAAACGCACCACCTCATATGAAATAGTTGATGACCTCAACCTGTGCGTGTACCTACGAGACCCCACTTTCTGCTTACTATCGCTTGTCTACTTTTAATTCTGTCCGGCTAGATTTAGGAAGTTCATTTTTCATTCTTGGTATGATGCTGAATACTTAAGCACTTGATTCTATTGTGAGAAACTTCTTTGTCTCAAGCATTCCGTGCTAGGGTATCACATCTGTTCATAAAATGGCAAAAGTTATCCTAGTGTGAACATAGGGTGCATGGGCATGCGAGTAAAACTGAAGTATTACTTTATATTGATGAATATCAGCAAAGCTTCAAAAGGTCATAAAACGGGGTAAAACCGTCATGAGAGTATTTTCTAGCCCTTAAGGGCAAAATTCTATATGATGCAAAAAATACGTCCCCCACAAGACCCGAACCCTAGCCTCTCACCCACGGAGCGTCACGCTTACCACTACGCCGCCGTTGAGAAATGAGTCACAATTTTAATCTCATGATGAAAGCTTTCAATTCAAGTGACTTATTTCAAACCATTGAAACTGATTATTTTGTCCTGTTCAAAATAAAAATGTAAAAAGTGGCCTTTTAAACGGAATAAAAAGGAGTTTTGCGATTCTGTGATGGAGACATCGAATATCGTTACTGTTGACAACATATCAAAAATCACTCAGAAACGTCAAGTTCGAGATGAGTTATGGCAGAAAAGGTTGGAGGTGATTTTAGTTTGAACGGTAGTGTAGTATATGATATTAAGGAGATTGTTATAACTTAAGTGAATTTTCGGTGTCTTGAAATCCGGTGACTGCCAATCCCAACTAGTGAAAGAGAACTCCTTCAGTTTCAAGCCACCCTGCTCTACAATGATCTTGGTGACTTGATCTTACGAGGCTACAAGGATTATAGGGCTATCAAAGGTTATTCGGCGAAATTACCTCTAAGATCAATACCCTGAAAACAACATGCGTAGGAATCATTTATTAGGGAAGT